TGAGGAGTGGAGAAGAAGTGTGCAGGTATCGATTTTCAAGGATATGGGTGATGTGCAGCGCTGTAGTAACTACAGAGGGGCGAAGTTGATCAGCCACAGCATGAAGTTATGGGAAAGAGCAGTGAAAGCTAGATTAAGAAGAGAGGCGATGACTAGGACAGTGGAGGGGTAGGGATGCAGGGAATGGAGCTGGCGAAGGTAGAGGAGTTTAAATGCTTGGGATCAACAGTTCAGTGCAATAAAAATTTGCCAGATGAAAATACCATGGTATACTCTATTACCGAAATCAGGGCAACATTTTTGCTTAAAATTTCATTAGGACTCCCTTTAAACAGCTCCATTCCATGACAAATGATCACAAATTGAATGGACTGCAAACTGAAATCTAATTTCAATAAATAAATCAAAAATAACCATCTTTGTCATTGAATGTAACACTAGAGATCGCTGACAGAACGTTTTCTGACAGCACCGCTGCTCGTTCCAGGGGACGGGTTCGACATTGCTGGCGTCTCTGACTGTCAGCGTTTGCATTCTGTATGTTCTACTGGACGGCAATGCTACCGGTGGAGAAATAATTTCCTTAGTATTTCCGGTTTTGTTTGGCGCAAGTTTAAAATGCACAGCACCAGTCCGTCACACGTCCAACTTTACATTGCCATAGCGCCATACCTCCACCACCTTTCTGCCTTGTTTATATACAGTATTTCCTATTTAAAAAGATGCTCCAGATGCTAAGCTGTTGCCTTCTTCACAGACACTTGACGTTTCCACCGAGGAAATGGTAATATCTTAAATGACTCAGGTGTGTTACCAAAACAGTAGCATGTGGCATGCTTCGCTAACTCAATCAACACCAAATGACTGGCTGGAATTGCATTCGCTTCTGTGATGTGTTCCATCAAGCGGAGCTCGTTGCTGACAGTTCAAAGTTTCTCATTTTATTATTGCTTACATTGCATGCGACGATAAATGTATATATCATTTATACTGCCCAGGCCCAAAAGGCACCCATCTCCATCAACAGGCTCTTTAAAATGCAAGTCCCACCTCGCCCCCTTGGGTCCGCAAACAGGCTGTTGGGAGCTCACTATCCCATGTCAGAAGTCTCACTCCAGACACGATTAAACCACAGTTTTTCAAGAAAGGATATCAGGAGGTTTTGAAAAAGCACTTTCATTGCATTCTTGATGTAGTATTATTCCGATTTACTTCTGGGAGCAGCAAAGTGTCAAAGTTATAATCTGACACAGGTCTGGGTGAATAAATATTGATGAGAGCCAGTTAATTAGTAATAATTAGTGTTACACTCACTCATCAAAATGGATAAGAACGTCCATGACTCCTCCGACTAGGTAATAAGGCTGACACTATACTTAACATTAATGATTCTATATTTGTGGACCTGGGAATGACGGGTCTGGACTTTCCTCTGTCTGTTCCTCTCCTCCACCTGCAGACAGGTTTCCTCCGGCCGTTCCAGTGTCTCTAAAAGGCCCTTAATGTGTGACTGTGTGCCCTGTGATCAGCTGTCATCATGGCACGGGTGTCCCCTGCTTACTGGGACAGGCAGCAGGTTGTTCTCACCCTGCAGCTGGTAGGTGATTGGAAGATGGACATACGCGTACATTCTACAAGCCAATGCTGGTTGTTCTCAGGCAGTCTCTCAGCTACCTTTATAATTTGCTCAGCCTTCAGAAGGGTTTGTACAGGATTTCTCCATATCTGCCAGTCTATGTTTGACAAAGGGATATAAGGAAACAGAGGGGGGGGTGTCCCATCCAGGGTACCCAATGCAGACCTAGACACAGCACTGTCCCTAATAAACATGCTTTAGTCTGCTCAGTGACATGGCACACCTGCTACTGTCATCATCATCTCAATAATCCTATTCGTACGTTATCTCAAGCAATACACTCCGAAAACCAAATATGCAATATGCAATTTCAAAACAGTACCAATGAGCACCACAGAGATTCTCAGGGAGCTTGCGGTCGAGGTCTCATCTTCCCGAAGGCCCCGCTTTGTCAGACTAAATGAAGAAGCACTCTTAGATGCACCATAAACACTGAGAAAAGTGGTGAAAATTCCCATTTTATGACTAAATGCAAAACATACATCATCATTTAGCTCCTTCTACACATACAAATTCAGTTTTGAAATGTACACATCAATGTGTAATGGAAGGAAGAAAGGTGGATTTGATTTAAGAAACAAAGCTGGAATTAAACCTCATCACTGTCTATGTGCTGAAAATTGAACCATACCTATCCCACTCGGGGGTGGGTGTGTGTGTGTGTGGGGGGGGGGTTGACTTGAGGTAGACACCATAGATCCCACATCTGCTACCCAGATTCTGCAATCGCTGCTGTACATTGACTCGAGACCCTCCTTGACATTTAATTTGGCATCTTATTAGCAGGATTTTGGACACCCTGGCTGACACTGCCAAAGCAATGCATCACTGCATATGCAGTTCGCCCGCTGTTCTCTCGCACTGGCTAGTAAGCCTGCTTCTACAGCCTCACTGCACACCGATTCTCTAGCTTACATTCGCTTTTCTGGGCTGTTACCGCACATTAATACGGCTGCTAGCATAATGCTATATACTTGCCATATGGAAGAGGGTCCAAGAGGCCCAAAATACTTATTCTAAAATGCCACACAAATTGACAGTCAAGCAGGGAAAAAAAACTGCGAGCAATGAAACAACTGAAGAAATTAAACTGAACCATAGCTAATAAAATTCACTTGTGGGGAAAAAAAAAAAAAAAGCTAGTAGGTGACACAAATACTTTGAAAAAGACCAATAAATGAAATATTTGACATAAATTCCGGTTTGCCTAAACATAGTATCAGTCACATCTAGCACTACTCTCTTCCCATATAGAAAGCAGTAAAAACGTGTGGTGTAAATCAGGTCTTTTCAGATTCAAGGGTTTATAAAGGCCAGACTCTCGCCTGGTACTCCATCGTACGGCTTTCTGTGGCGGCTCCTGCTGCACGGCGAGGCTGCGATTTACGAGGTTCTTAAAAACCCACCCAGCCGCTATTAAAACTTTTACAAGTTGGTTTAGAAGCAGCAAAAATGCGGAGAGCACCAGTCAGCCCGAGAGGCCGAATTACTACAGATCGCAGAATAGCATTAATCCAGTGAAAATAAGCCCAATTTAAGGTTTGTTTAGCATATCAAACGAAATATGAATCAGACCCAAATGAGCATCACGGCAGAAGGTATTGATGAGCGCTCCACCCCCTGGCTGAAGAGATTACGCGCAGAATAAAAAGCTGATAAAATCTCTGTCACCATACTGCATTTTACTGCATTCACACTTTACTTCTGTTTTGCAGCACGCTGCAATAGCTGATCCCCTACGCCCCCACCCCCACCCCCAAGCTAATTTCAGGGCGGGGGTGGGTACAGGCATCCCTCTGGGGCCTCTTTTGATGCTTAAGGTTTAGAATGTATATGTTTTAATATTACTTTACTATTTCATGGATATTTTTAAAAAGTATGACTTATTGCGACATTTTCGGGCTGCAAAAACAGCAAACCTTTGTAATATACTGTATACTATTAGTGTATGTTTAAGTATAAATAAAAGTATTTAATTGATTAGTTTTGATAATTTGCAGACTTATTGCTTGGCAGACCAAAAAATACACAGACCAAACCCTATGTTACAGTATAACTAAATAAATGACTATAAATAGTTGTGCTTCTGGTCCCCGAACTGGTCACACATATTAATCCCTGTTTATTCATTATTTTATCCTGCAGTAAGCAGAGGGTGGGAGGGCAGGAAGGACACTGGCTCTCTGCCGCTTCTCGCCGTGAGAGATGGATACAAAGGGGATTTCAGACGGAAAGCCGGCAGTAATTGCAGGGCTGGCGTTTTCGGGAGCCCAGTGACGCCCAGGCGAGGCGTCACTGCAGGAACGAGCCGCCGCTACCCAGCGTGGGCCTCTGATCTCACGGCCGGCTTTAAAGCAGCTCGGCATCATAAATAAATCCCAAAGAAAGCAAGCAGCATTCTGTGAGGGGGGGGGGTCATGGGAAGCTCCTGGGGGCCAGTGATGATCTGAGGGTGGGCAGCAGGTCTGTGTATGTGTGCGCGTGTGTGCATGCATCCACAGGTGTGTGCGTGACAGTGGGTTTGCACGGGTGACTTTTGGGGACTAAAATGTCCACAACTCAGCTTTCATCTTCATTCTTTAACCAACCCTCTCCAAAAATCCACAGGATGAATAAACAGTGAAAAAGGCTGCATCTCACCTGAATACACAGAGGTTAACGGGCATACACACACACACACCCACCCAGACAGACACACCTACACACACCCAGACAGACAAACCTACACACACCCAGACAGACAAACCTACACACACACACACACACACACGCACACTGACACACACACAGGTAGCCAATATTCCTCTCTCCCCAGCCATCTGATGGTCCATAAGTCCTTTCCCGGCTCTCATGACGCTCCTGGGAGCATCTAAAGTATCAGAATGTTGCCTAGCGCCTTGCCAGGTTCACTGGGTGCCCGTTTTTAAATAAGCTACAGACATTCGGCAGAAAACCTTGCCACACCGTTAACATCTTATTCCATGGGTACAAAACAGTAAACTGATGCTTCAAAACAGTTCCATGTATAGATATGAATAGATAAACGTCAAACTACTGAAGGAAGTACAAGTACCAGAACCTTGGAAGAATAAAAGATTTGACAAAACTTTTTTTGCAGGGCTCTATTAAAGATGAAATATCTCCATCTGAAATGACTGACATACAAATTCACAAACCACTGGAGAGCACAATCTATAAACGATTATATATTTGATTCTGTCAAGTAAGGAATAAATTATAAAGGCTACAGGCAGTTTCCTTGGTAAAACACACACACACACACACACACACACACACACACACACACACACACACACAAAGGGGCTGGAGATCAGCCACGTGGGACAGTCGAGGGGTTACTTACTAAAATCTCCGGTCAGGAAGAGGGCCTCCGTCCCTGGGGCCCATTCCCGGAACAGGAGCCCGTTGTCGGGCTGCCGGGTCACACCCATGCTCTGGTAGCTGAGCGTGAAGCGATCGAAGCCGCCCTCTGCCTCCTCCAGCAGGTGGAGCTGCTTCTGGAACAGCTCATACCTTCAAACACAGCACACAGGACAGCAGCTTCACTATCGACGATTACAAATACTGCGTTTGGCACTATATACTCACATTAAAAATGAGTTATTTATTTATATAGGAAAAAACTGGGATGATATGAGAAATTAATAGAACAACATAAAACAACTTGTTGAATTTTTTTCGTTATGATGACTAACTGATTTAACAGTATATATAGAAGAAACCAGCATATTTTAGGTCAATAGCTCGGCGCCAGTCCTAGCCAGAGCGCCACCTGCAGGCCAGTCTGCTTCATTCTGCTGATTTCTCCTCGATGACAGTGTCTCCGACGATGTCAAAGTGCATTGCACAACCCGCTCAGCAGAAAACCCCCCTGTATACAATTCTGTCCCCTGCTCTAGTGCTGGGTGGGGGGGTAAAACAGCATATCAGAATGAGAACCCCCCCCACCCCCAAGGTGCCTAGTTAAATCATTCAACTCACCGAACTCAGACCACAGCCAGATCAAGACGTCTGACGAATCTTTTAGTACCAGTGACCCTACAGACGAGGTGAGTAGCACCCCCCAGCCCCCCCCCCCCAGCCCCCACCCGTCCTTTGTGAACTCCCGGCTGATTCTCGAAAAAGCTTCAGAACCCCGTCTAATGCCGCTATCTCGCTGGAACTTATGCAAATGCATTCGTGTTTAGTTCAAAGGCAAACAATAACACGTTTTCCCCTGGACCCCCATATATCTAATGAACCTGTTACACGTTTACATCTGGCCTGCGAGATACTCCGCTGAAAGCCATTCTCCTCACAGAACCGGGCCTCAGTTCCTTCTAATCATCGCCGGGCACTTATCTCTATATTTCCAGCACATGGGGGGAAACACTGTCAGAGGCGGTAATGAAAACGCCAACTGCAAGAACTAAATAGGGCCAGAAAGCACAACTGCACTCCCCTAAATTAGCAGAACCCCACAGAAGGGCCAGATACACTCAAAACATAAGTACTTTTAATAACGTTTAATCAGTTAAGCCTGGCCAATAGGAGCAACTGATCAGGTGATGTCAGCGTCATCTTAAAGAGGTTGGCAACATTCCGCAGGTCGTGACCTTACACAGGTTGCTAGGAGACGGCCATTAAGAAGAGGAATAATATTAGGAAAGTAATATGACAGGTGGGCACACTTCTGCTCTTAAGTTAATACCATATCCAGTCTCATATTTTCCTTCCTCAGTAAATAAGTGACATTTAAGAGCAGCACCTTGCCTCAAACAGCCATTGGTTGCTTTGCAGAACATCGCAATATTGGTACTGTAACTATAAAATTATATGCCATCTTCAGAACAATATCACGCATGGCTCAGGTCCAGAACCAAGTCTCCTTTTGTAGGGGATGCATTAATACGTGCATAACTAATCCCTCCCATTTATTGTCTACCCGAGCTTGGCAAGTTAACCTGGGTGCAACCCAATACAACACACTGAATAAATGATTAACATTATTAAGCAAGTTCATTTTATTTTGCCTTTATTGCTAACGATTCATATTTTCACTTACAAGTGACAGCGGATTACTGCACCGCAGACTCCACCAGGCGCTCCAGCGGCAAGCCGCACGCGGGAATTACAAAGTCAGAAGTGCACCTATCAGAAACCGCGGCGGAGGCGCGAGAGCCGAGGCGTGACAAGATAAAAGGATGCTGTGAGTGATTGGGGTGGGGGGGCGGCTTTGGAAAACTCCCGCAGTACACCACAGCACCAGTGAAGCTGAAAGCACTCAACAGAAACAAAATCTTACAGCGGTGTAGATACTACTGACCGTATAGCAGGGACAGCAGGAAAATAACTGCAGTCATAACAAGTTTTGTTCATTGCAGCAAAATGTTTGGCCGCCAGCGAAGCATTGAGTTAGAGCTAAAAACTGGGTTTGGCACCCAGGAACAGTTGCCTCACCCACGCTAAACCTAGATCAGCACCCCCACCCCACCACCCAATGCATCTTAATTAGCAAAATCCAACCTTTAAGCAAAGATGGCTTTTCCAATCAAAACGATGGGTACCTGCAGCACCCAGCGCAAAACAGCGCTGCAGTCCGCAAACTATTGAGTGGCAAATGCCTGTCCGTTTGATAACACGCCATTACCCTCATTACTGCAGCGAGGCTGAAAGGCTTTTAGCTTTTCCTGCACAGTAATCAGTGTCTGGGCTCTGCTAAGGGACGTACATTTTTGTCCCGAGCAACGTATACACATGGCCTACTACTGAAGGTTTTTAAAAAAAAAAACAAAAAAAAACAGCACATTACTCATCTCAACAAAGTAAAGATCAAGCTTTTAGGCTGTCTCACAAGCGCTACAGTTCACGATTTAAAGTCCAAACAAACTGTACTTTGCCTTTGATGTCTTTGCATGGTTTCAAAAGTAATGTTTAACTGAAAGACCTTAACCTTAAACATAAAAAAAAACAATCATGGTGGGTCAGTTTTAATACCTTTATGCCATTCTCCCAGCATAGAGCTACATACAGGGGGGTCGTGGTTAAGAGTTATCTACTTATCCAGTGAGACAATTTCTATAACTGGGTATTTTACTCAAGCAATTCAGGAACAGGGTAATAAAAGTATGCTCTTTTGCCAGATGTAGCAACCATGATTTCCTTCAGCCTTGCCACCAATCTCTACCCATCCAGCCACCCACCTGACCTCACCACATTTTCTCAGGGACAACAAAAAAAAAAAATTAAAAAAACCCCTCTTATCCTTGAGGCAATCTCAAATGAGGTTTATCAACTAAAAAGAGATGTTTAATAGACTATTTTACAAGAGATATGAAATGGTTGGAAAAGGAATGGCAATAACAATTTCAATCTTCAGTGGATCTGAAGCATAACATCTGATCACAATATGAAAATATAGATTCTCTTTCGTTTTGTCATTCAAACAAACACAGCAATGGCCAAAAGTGCATTTGACGTAATTTTTCATTTTAAGTATCGAGATAATTTGCAGTGCTTCAGTTCAGGTCATGCACTGTGTGCACATCAGCAACATATGCTTGTTTGTTCAGCCATCCATCTACTATATGCTTATCTTAGCCAGGGTCAACAGTCAAAGCTGCTGTTTATTCTGAATCTAATGTGGCCCACAACCCTGAATAAGGATAAGTGCTTGGAAGAGGGAAGGATGGATAATTTAATACAATATGTGTGGCATTATGTCCGTGAAGCGAATGTAGGCTCTGGCATGAGACAAATGGAGTTTAACAGCGAGTGGGAAGCACAAGCTGCCACGCAGCCAAGGTAGGTCCGCTTCCATAAGTCGCTCCAGCAGAACTTCAGGCGTTGCCGCTCTCACGCTCCCTGCTCGCTGCTAAGGGAGAGGACACGCAAGCGAAGAGGCGTTCGCAAGGAAACACAAACGATGACAGCTCAAGCCTCCGACAGCACGCCGGGAAAATGCTCAACTCATCTCTGCCGACTGCAGAGGTAGTTTGGCAATGAGCAGGGCTATTGCTACACAACGGCATCCTCTAACGGACCAGAGACCAACCTTTCCTGTATGGCAAGAAGACGACAACCGTGCCACGTTCTCTTTGGTCGTGCTCTGCTGGGACACCAATCTATACTTACAAAACCACGCTCAAATCATTTATTAGGCCAGACATTTACCACCATGTGAAAACGTACCATATTAGAAATATGCTGATAATACAGCACATATTTAATTCAAATAATTCAGCTAGCACAGATTCCCTAAAGCATATTTGGACATTCGTACGTTTTCCCAGTGTTTACGTGACCAAGACTTAAATGAATTTGGCCTTAAACTGGTCAAAATGCATCCTCAGAAACAGCAGAGCAAACAGACAGACTGCAAGAGCGGTCAGCAGTCTGCATCTAGTAAGTGCCTCTGGCATTTATAAGGACCTGCTTTTCAAAGATGCGTCACTGGTCGCGGGCATTTTTAAACATTTATTCCATTAGTCTCTTAGTCCGAGGATCCTTGGCTGGCTTTCAGTGTCGATCCAAAGCATAAATAAATAAATATACAGGTATAAGGCATATTCGAGTGCCAATGTCTTATAAGCCTTCTGCCACTAGATGGAACTAACAGAATGCCGAGTGCGTTCCATTCACTACCACACGGTCGCCTAACAAACCCCGGCGACTTTTCTGTTACGGCACATCTGCACGCTCTCCTACATGAATACCCCGCTATGTCACACCTTAACAGTTACGCGGCAATGCCGAGAAACAAGACCGCTGATTGGCTGTTCCTCAGAATCAGTCCACGTCTCAAAAAAAAAAAATAATAATAATTTTATCAAAAGAACTGTGCAGGCAAGTAAATGAGGTTTTAAGCTTTATTTGGATGGCTGTTATCTATCGATTTAACCAACAAATTTATAAATATAATGCAAAATAAAATCTTTAAAATGCTAGCACAACATTCCAGAGCTAGTTTTGGAAACAGAACTATGTGAAAGTATCCCAGATTGAGCTGAACAATGTAAAACAGAATCTAGTGTAAATGAATGAAAGACGTGGCTCTCCCACGGGCCGCTCCGTCTGCCCCCCCCCCCGAGGGCCACACGTGGCGATGTGAGATGCTCAGCATCCTGCGGCGATTCTGGGCTCCCCGCTTGTTCGCCGCCAGCTTCGCCTGAAGCCCGGTGAGCGTCTCCGCTCCGGCGAGCGTAGGAGGGAACCGGCGTGTGCGTCGCCATCTTCAAAACCGGCAAGCGCCGCTTTTAACACGCCCGTCTCCGGCCGCTTCCCAAGAACGGACTCGGTTCTTGTGGGGGGACGCATTAGACGACGGAGAAATTTCTCTTGAGGTGCCACTCGTCTTTCGGTGCTTCTTCAAGGCCCAGGGGCTCCATTCTCCTCGGATCGCTCCCGGGCAGCTCTGGAGATCCGGGGCTAGTGCGGTCACCATTTTTGCTTCCTTGTGATTCCGTTTATCGTCATGTGCTTGTCCCTTCAGCCGGTTTCCTTCCGTTTGCGTCATCCTGTCTGGTCCATACGGC